CACACACACACACACACACACACACGCACGCACGCACGAATTGCGAACGATGATTAAACCTGGAGTAATGAAGAAAAGGACAGCGGATAGACGAACGAATATGCGAACGATGATAACCTTTAGGCGTTTCTCTACCACATGGCACTGTGACTTTGTCAGGAATTTAATCAATCCTGCCCGAATACCGAAAGTCTAGCTATCAGCCATATAACTAATCAACGTCCCGTAAACCTTCGAACAGAGAAAGCGTAGGAAGGACTCGCGCGCATGACAAAAAACTGAATACAGCTGAAATAGAACGTAAATATAATTCAGACGATATTCTTTTTCTTGAGACAATTTCGAAACAATGTCTGGATCTTTGTTTTATCTGATTAATCGATCTATGAATATCTCAATGAGATATATCGAAATTCTTGCAAAACTATATCGCCACACTTTTGAAGTAATAACTACAAAGTAATTACATGACTAATACGTTAATGAAAGAGGGGAGGGGAGGGGGGGGTAATGTGACATCCAAACCCCCTGTCGCGGAAATGATAGGGGGAAAATCCGCGACAGCCAGATTCCCGGAGTTTAGAGTAGGGCACACCGGCAGGCGAGAGGTGATGGGAGATATTTCTGTTTAATAGTCGGCGTATCACGCCGGTAATGGAAGTCGAGGCGTTTGCATGCCGGGAGGCACGCTCTGGTGCTATAAAGTTAATGGCGTCGTAGGCGGCACGATAAAATGATGCATCGCGGCTTGGCGACAATATTATTGCCAACAGCTGTGCACCTGCGTGTATCCTTGGAGAGGATCTCTAGATTTCGCGTTTATTACGAAAGGACATGAAGAAAAAAACCTACCTTTTCCTTATTCCGATGATTCTTTGATTTTGACGAGGTCATGCCGCGTAAAATCGCTACTGATGACATAGGCATAGTCAAACGTGTAATTATTATGTTCGAGAAAATGCGTGTAATCCACGTGCTTGAAATTATAATCCTGATGTACACGGTTGGCTTTAAAAGTAGCATTATATGTTGTAATGTTAGTATATTTCGTAGAAAAACACGAGGCTTAACAATTTTCTCTCCTCCTTTACCTCTTTATCTTTCCGCCGCAAGATTCTCCGTCTGTCAACCGGTTTTCGTTCTTTCTCACCGTCTTTGTGCCTCCATCTTCGTGCCGAGCTCATGAACGGATTGTAATGATTAGTATAACGAGAAGATCTGCGAGAGGGGCTTACGGTTAAGAGCGGATACCGGGAATTGCTCCGCTTTTAATTACCGCCGAGCTGCCGACTGTGTACACCAACGCCTTAATGCACTGTGATGCTTAACGAGTAATACGTCGTTATCAACGCCGCGGATGGTGAAGAAGGCTCGGAAAGAAGGTCGTTAAATGATTTTAACGGTTCTCCAAGGTGGAACTCGCATTCGGGCCAATCCCGGATTTTCTCGGACTAATGGCGACAGAAAGAGACGACAGCTGGATCGAATATACGGATCGATAGATCAAGGCTCGCCAAATCAAGGAGAATAATACAGGCGCGAGTCAGAACGGAATAAGATGGTCGCGAGAAATTCGTTATCACTGTGCTATTGTTTCCTGTAGCATATACGTTTATCGGAAACTCCGAAGTTATCGCAGTCAGCGTGGAGCGCGCTTACTTGCGTGGAATAGACGCGATGCTGTTTGTAAGTGGATTATGCTTATAATGGGGCATTGCAAGTCCGTTCTGAATGTCGCGACTATGTATATACCATATACGCCGAGGTAAATCATGTTCGTATCCACTTCAACCGCGTCGCCTGGATTCTCGCCAACATACATTCTATCCGACAAATTGTGCATGGGATGTGACTTTCGCAGTTCACCGGATCGCATGTGTAGAAACAATATTGTATATTTATTTGTTCTGCAATGCGGGGATTTCGGTGCGTTACGGTTGGCGCCAACTATCGCGGAGTTCATTTGCTTTGGGGTGTAAAATTGCAAACGACACCGCGCCCGACCGAGACTGTTCACGGTTTACTATTACGACGCGCCGCAGGAGCATCTCTCGAGGATAGAGATGAATCACAGAGAATTGGTGCCTCGTGGAAATCGCTATGATTTAATGTTCTACTTCGTCTGTTCTCGTCTCTCTCTCTCTCTCTCTGTGACCACTCGTCCAGGGTCCGCCGTGACGCAGAGTGATTCTTTTGGTAATTTATTGGTCGTAGATCAACGTCGGGGAACGTTATTCGGCTCGCCCTTACGTTCGGCACCAGGACAATGTCGAGCATCGACGCCGTTTCTGGCCGTGACATTCCCGTGGAATGGCACGCGACATCCGCAGGAGATCGATCGTTATATTCGATGCGTTTCGGACGATTGACCTTGCAAACGAACCACTTCCTACCCCCTGATCGTATTCTACCCTGCTGTACAAAATGCATTGCAATGCTGAGTAGAGATCATTGCACAGCGAGAATGTTACGACACGTACAAGCGCACATTTAAAAAACACACTTTTTCTAAATATTTTTCACGCAACGAGGTCACGTTATATTCCGGAATAACGAAAATCTAGCTATTACGAGAGAGAGAAGAAAAGAGAATCGTATTTGGAACGACGGAACAAAGCAAAGAGAAAGTGTAGTTTTATTATCTTTTTTGCATGCAAATCTCGTTAAATCCTGAATATTGACCTTCTTCTGGCACATTTCTAACATCTTTTCAGGGGATTTTGCGACAATGATGCAACACAGGATTTGCAAAATGTGAAATATGTTATTTCTAACACTTCTTGTAAGGTCGAGCATGTGAAGCGACCGCCTGTAAGAAAGAGGCTTACAAAGAAGAGCGGACCCGCCTTGACTTTCTTGAAAAGATATGGTGCATAATTATAGCTTCACATTTAAAATAGAATTTTTTTTGTCTTTTGACAAAAAATATTTTTTCGGATTCCTGAAAATTTATCACAAACATGTATATAAATATCTCTGATTTATTATTAATTTTACTGTAATTTTCAAAAAATTTTTCAAAAAATTCATGCAATGTGACATAATCTATGTTTTTTCTTTGTTGCAGAGAGATGTTTTGAATTTGGAACCCAGCAACGTGGCAAATTGCGTGTCGAAGGGCAAATCGGAGGTAGGTTGCTTTCTCAGGGTTTGCGCTTCTTTTCACACTGCACGTTGTCTTTGAAGAGAATTTTAATTCCGGCACTGGCAAACTGGCCCGAGAACATTCTGAAACGAGAACACCAAAGAATTGTGATTGCAGAAAAAAACATCGAACAACGTAATGTCGAAAGAGAACTCATAAGCAGTCGACATGCATTAAAATAAAAGGACTAGGTTTCTTTGAAGATGCATAACGGCGAAACGAAAGACACCAAGCTTGCTTTTTAATAGACATTGCGGTGTCACTCGAATCCGAGAGAGAATATATCTTATTTGTATCTTCAGCACAAAGAGAAATTTTACCGTAACACCGCAATATTCTTCTTTCCGAATAATCTGCATCAGCTTTCACCGCCGCGTGTCTTAATTTTTAAATTAACGCACAAGATACTTGAATCTTTGTTATACCGTAATCTCTCTCTATCTCATTTATTTTAATCAGACAAATTTTAATAAACCAAATAAACATAAATATCACATAATGTTTGGGAAGGGTTTCGCGCGTCTTCCTAAATGGCCGTCATCGTATTTCGGCCGAAAATTAGAGTTAACCATGAAACTTCTGATTTTCTAACGCACGTCCATTTTTATTCATACCTCGAAATCGCGGCACCATGGCCACAGTGATAAAACGGGCACGATCGCGTTCTGCCTCGTAGACGCGCGAGCGCGCGCTTATCACGGCTTCATTCGTATGCACCGTATACGCGTCGTCGTCGAGGTGTAAGGTCCACGCAAATATTCCCTACGTGACGACAAAGCCAATTCATTTTCCCGTGCACCGATTCGCCGCGAAATACGCGCACGACGTGATCGACCGCGACTACTCCGTCGCGCACGCGACGCGATCTTTTGCCTTCCCGTTTTTCCCGAAAAGTCCAAAGGGAACGCGGCGGCACAGCGAACCTGTCTACAGTGCTACGCGCACTGTGCACCGCGTCTGCAACGATTTTCTCATCGCCAACGCACGTCGCATGAGCGAATTTAATTTTCTCCCTTTTCTCTTTCCAGCATTTCGACTGCCGAAATCATATAAGAGTAATACAGCCGATGGGAGATGGCAATCGACTTTATATGTGCGGTACGAATGCGCACTCGCCCAAGGATTGGGTGATTTATGTAAGTTTTTATATATATTTTTTTTTTTAAATAGAAAAAATACACATAAATAAATTTTGTATATATGACATACGGTAATCGTTTAGCGATATTTTTTAATGAAATATCATCGGTTATCTAAATATCATCGGAAACTTCTCAGTTACAACATGACCAATTATATTTATTTTCCCAACAGTTCCCAGAATGTTGAAACAAATATTGCATTGCTTTCTCACATCATTCAATTCTCTTTCTCTTTTGTACTTTACAAATTGCGATGTATACTAAATTCGTTAAATTTCTGTAATACGCGACAGTTTGTGATTGGATTGCGAAATTGTTAAAAACGACGATTGGCTTGGCAAACAGCGGGAAAAATGTATATATATATGTATATCGTTTAAATGTCTACTGTCATTTGTTTATTGAAAATTGAAAATGTGAAACGATGTTAAATACATCCGCAACCCCTCTTGAAATGTATTAGGGATTCAGCGATATGCGCAACGCACACCGATTTGTGCTGCTTTACGCTTAATTTAATTAATTAATAACAGAACGCGAGGAGGCATCTGAAAATAATATCGTTAATTAATTTTCGCGTTACGAATAAATTTCACCGCCACTCACGCATTCCTCGGTACGTTCCAATTTAATTCCCGTTAAAATATTTAAAGCCATATAATGAATAATGCTGTTATTAATGGAAATTTACATGCATTATCGCAATAGTAGAAATCCGCGCGATGTGATTTCGCAAAGTTTCGCAAAGTGCATCAAAGCTACCGGGGCAGATGAATGAATCTTGTGCTTAAGTACCCGTGTAACAACACGACAAAAGATACACCAGTTTCGCTTTGCTAAATATTACGAGTCCCGGGTGTGCCGTAACATCTCGCGTAATAATAACATCCAGCCGCTTACCTAAGCTCTCGCTGAAAATTATAGCTACTAAATAAAGTTAAACTATCTCAAGACATTTGATACCAAATGAGAATCTCATCAATATAATAATTCGTATATTGAAATTTTATAAATTTATTACACAAAAAGATCCAAGATTTATCGCTATTTATTTTATTTATTTCCTTTTTTTAATCCGCTTGAAACGTGTTTTTGTATTTAATTAAATTCTATTTTGTGTCATAATTTTATTACCGTAAAAGGACATTCGTCCGTAAAGAAACTTCTGTTTCTTCTCACCCCTTGTGTTTTTCATAGCGTCTTACTCTCAGGAGCCTATCTAATCTCTCCTTCAAATAATGTTCTTTCCAGAGCAATCTGACTCACTTACCGCGTCACGAGTTTGTCCCCGGGGTGGGAATGGGCATCGCGAAGTGCCCTTATGACCCTGCGGACAATTCGACGGCGGTCTGGGTCGAGAAGGGCAATCCCGGAGACTTGCCAGCTCTTTATTCCGGCACGAACGCCGAGTTCACCAAAGCCGATACCGTAATCTTTCGTACGGATCTCTACAATCTGACTACCGGTCGCAAGGCGTTCAATTTCAAGAGGACACTTAAGTACGATTCCAAGTGGCTCGACAGTGAGTATTTTTTTTGCAAATGACATCATTAGCCTTTAATAAACTTAATTGAATATTTATATTTATATTCTTTCATCGAATTGAAGATAATATTTAATGATATTTTAGCGAGTTTTAATCTTGTGATATCTTTTAATATAATATCTTTTGAGCGCCGTTGACCGTTTTCTATAATCACATCTCCCTTCGCTATGGTCGTATCGATCGTTACGTCCACTATTACCAGACGATATTTAGATCTCCGCACTTCATAGAGGAACCTCGAAGCCTGATAATTATCGGCGTGTCGAGGCAACAATGAAATTTCCATTAGGCTTAAAGCGCCTAGTATTAACGAGAAGAGGGGATCGTCCTTGATCGGCTAAAAAGCGAAGCAGGTCTTCCCGAAGAAATCGCGCAGGAAGGGCTGTTGCTTAGAAAATAGACGGAGAGTGCTTTGAAGTAGGACCCCAGCATCAGCCGGGAACACGCTTCGGGTTCAAATGGATGCGAATAAACTGCCCCGCCTATTTTCCAAGGCTACCATTGCCTTCCTCGCCGACGACGAGAAGGACTCACGCGGAAAAGCAGGGGGACGAGACGAGGCGGGGATGGGTTACGAGTGGAATTATAGGAGTTTGGAGGGGCGCTAGGTTCGCTATCGGA